CCTCCTGTACACCTCCTCCTAATCTTCCATCCTTTGGCTGGATGGATGGCAGAGGTTCCCCACTAAGTGAGATGTCTGGAGGTCCCGGGCTATGATCCCCCTGGACCAAGCCCATGGGTAGTACCCCTTAAAGGCCTTCAAGCGCCACATGCTGGGCACGTTTGCACAGTTGTATGTTCATGTGTTATGAGATTGTATATACATTAGTGTGTGTGTATACATGTGCCAGGAATGCATATGTTGTGGTGTGTGTGTGTGTACTTGGGACGCGTATTTGCATATGTGTATGTAAATGTGTATATTTGTGGCTGTGTGGTATGTGCTTGCAGGTGTGTGTTGTGCATTGGTGGCATATGTGTTTACCCATGCATCTATTTGTGTGTTTGATGGTGTATATATATGCCTATCTAGATGGGCATTTATGGTTTTGTACTTGTGGTTTTCACAGTGGATGGGTAAGACTTTGCGGGCTGTGATTGTGCACATGTGGGAGTGTGCCGGGGGTCTTTGGTGCAGGTTTCTTTTCTCCCCCATCTCCCCTCATCTGGGTGACCTTCTTCCCCCAGCTGAGGACTGTGGCTGCTCAGTCTGGCTCCTGCCCCTTCTGCAGACCTGTGGCTGCCCAGGTCTTTGGCTGGTACAAGCACCAGGGGCAAAGGGTGGGTGGGTGAACCTGGGGCCAAGGCTCGTGTGTCACCCTCCTCCCCTCCCCACAGCAGGAGCAGCAGCGGGAAAGGTTGGCGGAGGGGGGCTATTTTGGGAGCGTCTCCTTAGCAACAGCTGCCACAGGCCGTCTGTGGCGGTTTTTCTATAGGTGCTAAAATATTCCACCCTGGTGACTACTGAGTACTGGGGGGTGGGCGAGGATGGGAGCAGAGGGTGGGAGAGACCCCTACAGTCCTCCATCCCCAGGGCACAGCCTGCTGGGATGGGTCCTGGCCCTCTGGACCTCCAAAGTCGCTTTCTCCGCCTCTCGTCTTCATGCCTCAGGGCTGCTCAGACTTCATGGAGTTCTGAGACAGGCCAGCTGTGTCCTGCTCCGATTTCTAATCTTAGGAGCTGGGCTGCCTCAGTTGGTCAAATCTGCAGAATGAGCTGGCCGGACTTTGAGGAACTCTCTTGGCCAAAAACCTCTGGACTCCGTGACTCTGGCATTGCAAAGTGGCCCTTTCCCTTCCCTCCCCAGCTTTCCCGCTTGCCTAGCCCAAGCGTCCCTGCCCTCCAGCCCTCCCAGCCCTCTGTGCATGTTCTCGGGGCTCCCGTGGGGCCAGAGAGGTCTGACTGGGCTCTCAGAGTGAGCCTGTTATTGAATACTCCCCCGGCCTGGAATGACCTTTCCCCAGAAGCTAGGAGCCGGTTCGGATCCTGGCTCAGACAGGTGCTCACTTCCGGAGTGACCCTGGGCAGGGCACTGCCTCTCTCCATGTCTCAGTGCGGTTTCCTCATCCATGATCAAGGGGTTGCCATAGTCTCTACCTCACAGAGTTGTCGTGAGGCTCGAATAAGGAGAATGGGGAGCGGGCAGGAAGCACTGGCCACAGACAGACGAAGGTTTTACCATTTTTCCTCATCAAACTTCAGAGCAAGTCTCACCCTTACAGAGAGTTGGCCACTCAGGCCACGCCACTTGTAATGATACGACCGTGCCTTAGTTTCCCCATCAGTAACAAGTGCCTGTGTCGTAGAGTTCTGGTAAGGGTTAGTGAAGTCCTAGAATAGCGCTGGGCTAAGGGCATGGGCTCAAGAGGCGCTTGGTCCCCTCACACCAGCCAGGGGTGCTTCTGTGTTAGATGATCTTCTGCAGTCCAAAGAGGACAAGCAACCTGTCCAGAGTCACCCAGGTTCTGACAGCCAAACCTCCCCCTCCCCACTTCTCACATCCCTCTCCCTCCTCCCCACCCTGCCCTACTAGCAGCTACGCAGACATGGGATGGACGAGGGCGAATTCCTCTTTTAGTATTTGATCCTCACCTTACATATGAAGAAATGGAGGCCCAAAGAGGAGAAGTGAGCTGCCCAGAGCCACACGAGTGTTGGGCGGTAGAGAAGGGACCCCTTCCTGGGATCCACGGACTTCTCCTTGCCTGCGGCTGTCTTTGCCACCACTCCCCACCTCCTCCCAATCTACCCTCAGCCTCCACAGGACCCTCCTTACAGAAGTTGAGCAATGGGGGCCCCAGGCTGCAGCTCCAGGCCCAGCAAGGTGACCATCATCATATGTTTCTTCTCAACCCCTGTGACGTCACAGCCACCAGGCTTTGCCCTCCCCTTTCCCAGCAGCCACTGCCCTCTAGTCCCCACCCTTCCTTAAACTTGTGCCCAGTGACCTAGCATCAGGTCCGACCCCACGGGAACAGAAGTTCTGGATTTATAGATACCCCTGTCTCCATCTCCTCCCTCCTTCCTGCCCTTCCTCCTTCCCCTGCACCTCATACTCCCAGAGCCGTCACTAGGCCAGGCCTCTGGCCAAATGAAGAGACTACAGGTCAGTTGCCTCACCTGCATCTTCCCACTCTCAATCCATAGAAAGGTGTGATAGGTACCAGGTACACATCTGCTGCTGAGCCAGCATCCAGATGGCTTGAGTTCCCCCACCCGTACACACATCAAGATTCATGCAACGGAACTTCAGTCCTGGTTGCCTGCCTGCAAGGCATAGCCAGGTAAGAGGGAGGTGAGCATAGGATGGGACACGCGCTATAAAGGTCTGCACAGTGGTGAAGAGAAGACTGTGAAGGGATGGATGGTCACATTTATTGAGCACCTACTATGAGCGGTACATTCTTGTGTATCTACCTCACTTATCTGCCCCTGTGAGGGGAGACTGTGAAGGGATGGATGGTCATATTTATTGAGCACCTACTATGAGCGGTACATTGTATCTACCTCACTTATCTGCCCCTGTGAGGGGAGGGACTGTTAAGGACCCCATTTTACAGACAGGTTAAATAAAAAATTTGCTCAACGTCATGCAGCTCCTCAGTGCTTTCAGTCTCAGGTTGGTCTGACTTCCAAGCCCACTTAACAAGAACCAAACTTGTGCCCAGTGCTGGATGAATGAATAAGTGCGTGATGAATGACTTCCGCCAGGGGCATCGGGAGGCCTTCCCAGGGGAGGCAGTATGGACGCTGGACTTGGAGAACGGCAGGAATTCTCTGGGCAGAGAAGGAGGAAGGGCATTTCAGGCAGGAAGAACAGCATGTGTGTGCAAAGGCAGAGAGTTGTGGAAGCATCTGGTGTGTTCTGGAATCTATGGGAATCAGGGTGTCTGTGTGGGCACATGGGGTGTGGAGTAAGGTGGCGCCTGGCTGTGCATCACGCAGAGGAGTTGGGACTGAATCCTTCCAGGTGAGGAGGGTCTCTGGGGAAGGGAAGTGATCATGGTGGTCCGATCATGGTGGTCCGTGTGTTGTGGTTCCTGTGCCAGTCGCATTTTTGGGGGGGGGAACAGCTTGAAGGAGCCAGAGATGATTTAATATTCAATAAGTGCCTCAGTCTCTCCCTCTCTTAACTGGGGCTAGTCTGAGATGTCCGGGCTCCCCAGGAAGTTCTTCTGGCTGTCTAACTGCAGGTGTTCGCTCATCCTATCGCCCTGGAGGAGGAGGAGGCGGACTTTCCCGCCTGCTTCCTCAGAGGGTTGGAGTGACGCCCTCGAATGGCCACGGAAGTGGCTGGCTCGCCAGGGACTGTAAGGTGCTGGGGTCTTCTCCCCAAAGTCCGGAGCGTGGGGCCTAGACCTGGCGCACCGTCAGGGCAGGAAGGAGAAGGGCGCTATGCTCCCTAATCAAGACTCTTTGGAGAAATGGGGATATAATGGGGAGTAATGGAGTTTGGTCGGGCCTTGCCACCTCTGGGTGACCTTGAGCAAGCTTGTGACTCTCTGGTACTCAGTCTCCCAGTCTGTAAAAAGGGGCGGTGCTGCCTAGGTGACTGCGAGGGTCCCTCCAGCAGGGCCACCTCCGCCTGCGGAGCGGGGCGCACAGGAGTGCAGGTACTTGTGGAGGAAAAGGACACCAAGGAGGGGAGTGGCCCAGCGCCACCGGTCCCAGTACGGACCCTCTCGCACCCACTCCCTTCCCGGCACGAGGAACCCTCTCCATCTGCCCCTGGGGGGCTAGAAAACCCGGCAGCGGCTTCTCGGAATGGGTTCTGGGAGGAGCGCTCCTGGAGTCTGGAGAAAAACCCGGACAGGATCTGTGGCAGGAGCCCCCCGCAGCCCCCAGCCCCGCGCCTGCCCCGCGCGGCGGGAGAGAGTGACAGAGGACAGGGACGGGGCGAGGGACAGATCGCGACGCGCAGGGGAGAGAGAGGGCAGAGGCTGAGGGAGGCGAGGGGGAGGCTGGGAGGGCGACCGAGACGGAGACGGAGACCCCGCGGGGAGACACGGCGAGAGCCGGGGAGGCAGCGGAGACAGGTGGGGAGACGGAGGCAGGAGAGCGGCAGAGAGCCGG